CTTTCAATAAATTAAGTTTTCTATCAGTTTAATTTATACGTATTCACTTAGTTAATTTAGTTTTTTCTTGCAATTTCACACTGTCAATATATTTGTTAGATTATATATAATCATACACACACAATATTTAATGGAATAAATATTAAACCATAAAATAGAAGCTTACATTATTTGGGGGCTAAAGTCCCTATTTATAGATAAGGTGTGTCGTGTGTGACAAACATAAGCAAACAAAAGGAAAGGAAACAACAATACAAAAAGCTAATATATCAAATGCTAACATTCCCTCTCAAACTCGTGATGGTGACATGAGTAACATTGAGAGTTTGCTAGAAAGAATGGGTGAAGCTGGAGAGTGTGTCTTTGTAAAGAAATTTGCAAGTTGTATCGAAGATGAGACAAAAGGCAAAGTGAGAGTCCCTTTATCGAGATGATAACGTGTAATATGACAACCAATCTCAATGTGTTTGGTCCGTTCATGAAAGACAATGTTGTGTGCAATGTGAATAGCGCTTTTATTATCACAATACATTGGTGTTGGATCATTGCAAGATACGCCCATATCAGCTAACAACCATCGTTACCATACTATCTCACAAGTAGTGGAAGTCATAACACGATACTCTGAAAATTTCGAGTAGTTGAAATTTTATATTTTTTATTTAAATTTTAAAATATGCAATATTGATATCATATGAAAGATTTTAAAAATTTATAAATTGTGATATATTTTTGTAAAAATTGGAGTTGAAATAAAAATGTTACATCATTTTAAAGAAAAAAGGGTTTTCATTTTCTTGGGTCCCGCATCCATACATTATCTTTCGCCTCACAGCTGTCCTTTCTTGGTCGTTATTTCCCTCCAAGAAAGGGGTGAATATGCAGTTGGTATACCGTGGGATCATCCCACGGTGAGCATCGTGCTCCACTTCCAAAACGGCGCAGTTTTGCGTACGTAATTTTAACTTAAAAAATTTCACGGGTGAACAGTACACGCGTGTACAGTACCTTTTTTTAGTTTTTTCATTGTCCTGGACAGAATTATGTAACTCGCGTGTAAAAAAACGTAATTCACACTGATAAAAGATGTAACTGCAGGCAAGTCAAAATGTAACTTGTCTAAAATATTGTTTTCAATGTAAAGTATAAAAAGAGTCCAATTGCTTATTTACTTTATCTAAATAGTGAATTTGTTTTGTTTTTTAAGAAATCATTTCCCCCAATTTTTTTTTTGCAAAAGAAAAACAATTTTTATAAAGTATTTTTTGTTTCAATAAAAGTATTTGTGATGTAACTCGTGTTATGGAAAATGCAACTCGCTTATGAAGGGTTTGGTGTAACTCGCGTACATTAAGATGTAACTCACGCATAAACAGATGTAACTCATGCATAACAAGATGTAACTTCCTATAATATCAAATGTAAACAATGAAAAAAGAGTTTAATGTTCAATTAATTTACTTAAATAGTGAATATATTTTTATTTTTTGTAATATTAGGGTCATAAAAATGTTTTATATAAAATTCATTTATTTACCAAAAACAATAGCCAAAAGAAATCATATTTTGCAAAAATAAAAGATTTTTTTATTTTGTGATGTAACTTGTGTTATAAAAAGATGTAACTCGTGCACATGAATATGTAACTTCATATATTACCAGATCTAACTTCATGAATCGAAGTAAACAAACTTAATTTCTTAAAAACCCTCTAAATGAGTTTAACTTTTGCGACATAAAAACATTCACTTTTCGTCTTCTACATTCATTATTTGCTTTTTTCATTTTTTTCACCACAATTAATCTGCTGCTTTTTCATTTTAAAATAGGTTCCAAAATAATAAATAGCAACTAAAATACAGAGCATGTACATGACGGATTCATGAAAAGTATGAATGATTATACTTAATTATAAAATACAATGTACATGTGTGTATATATACACGTAGAACTACCTCTCAAAGCTAATGAGATAATCATGACTAGCTATAATTATGGAGATAATAATGTATCATAACAACCTAGCTAATCCGTATGTACATAGTGATAAGAATAATGATTAATAATATTATGTTGCTCCAATACGCCCCCGCAAGATAGAGGATCCGTTGGAAACTCCTAGCTTGGACCGAAACCGCTCAAATGGAACTTTACCAAGAGGCTTTGTTAATATGTCGGCAATTTGAAACTTGTTGGAAATATGACGAACTGAGAGTTGCCCAGTTTCAACCAAATCCCGAACAAAGAAAAAATCAAGTGCTACGTGTTTCATGCGAGAGTGAAATACTGGATTGACACACACGTACGTAGCTCCTTGATTATCACATAACAATTGAGGAGGATGAGATAATTGGACTCCTAATTCATGAAGTAGATTTTGAACCCATAAAATCTCAGCACTAGCATGTGCCACGGCCCTATATTCAGCTTCTGTGGATGATCGTGAAACAGATTTTTGCTTTGCTGATTTCCATGAAATAATATTAGAGCCAAAATATAAGACATAGGCAGTGGTAGATTTCCCCCCATCATGAATTCCCCCCCAATCCGAATCTGAGAAGGCCGTGAGTGTGAGGGGGGAGGATCGCTTCAGGAAAAGGCCATAGTCCAAAGTGCCTTTGAGATACCGTAGAATACGTTTAACTCCCTGCCAATGAACATCTCTTGGGGCATGCATATATTGAGATAACCTGTTAACGGCAAACGAGATGTCCGGCCTTGTGAACGCCAAATATTGTAATAAGCCAAGTGCCCGCCTGTACTGCGTGGGATCAGTGGGATACTTACCATCCGTAAGATGGGGCGGGGAACTAGAACTCATAGGGGTGGCAGACTCCTTAGCTCCGTCCATATGACACTCCTCAAGAATATGCAGAATGTATTGCCTTTGAGAGAGAAAAATGCCCTCAGGATGTGGAATGGTTTCAACCCCAAGAAAATGATGTAAGATGCCAAGGTCTTTGACAGAAAACCGAGTCGTAAGTTGCTTAATAAATTCTTCCAGGGCAGTAGCATGATTCCCAGTGATCACTATATCATCAACATAGACAAGAAAGTACAACAAAATATTATTGTGAGAAAATATAAACAAAGATGCATCTGCCTTGGATCTCCGGAAACCTGCAGAAATAAGAAACCGAGATAACTCAAGATACCACGCACGCGGTGCTTGCTTAAGGCCATAGAGTGCTTTTTGAAGCCTACACACATGCGTGGGATGTGATGAATCTTTGAATCCCGGTGGTTGCATCATGTAAACTTCCTCCGACAACGAGCCATGTAGGAATGCATTATTTACGTCCAATTGGCGTAAGGGCCAATGACGAGAGAGAGCTATGGCAAGAACAATACGTATAGTAGCCGGCTTCGTAACCGGACTGAATGTTTCGGCATAGTCACGACCAGCCTGTTGCAAGAACCCACGAGCAACAAGCCGTGCCTTATACCTCGCAATACTACCGTCAGCATTCCTTTTGATACGAAAAAGCCATTTGCATGATATGGGTGTATGATTGTCACGAGGTACCAGTGTCCAAGTATGGTTACGTTTGAGGGCCTCCATTTCTTCTTGCATGGCCATGCGCCATTTAGGATCTGCTAAGGCTTCTTTCACACTCGTGGGTTCCAGGATTGGGTGTATGGGATGAGTGGTGGTGTAGTTGACAAATTGACTCCCAAAATATTTGGGATTAGGAATACGATGACGGGTAGGGCGAGAATTATGAGTTTGCCCGGAGGAGGGAGGGGAGGGGGTGGGTTGACTGTCAGATATATTGTGCATGGGAGGAGGAGTAGCCGTTGAGTTATATTGCATGGTAGGAGGGGTAGTATTATTATGGTGGGGAGAGGTAATTATTAGTGGGCCCAATGGAGTTGATGAGTCAACATTGGTGGGTGGAGTAAGAGATAGTTCGGCAGAGGTAGATAAGGATGAATTTTGAGTAGAATTATTGTTGGGAGAGGATAAAATTGAATTTGAATTATTGTTATGGGTGACTGGTATTACGGGTGGGGTGATAAGAGTAGGTGGAGGAATTATTGTGGAAGGGTGAGCCGCACTAATAGGTGAGGATGGTGAACACGTGGCGGAGTGAGGTATGGATATGCATGGAGTGACTGGTGGATAGGAATTTTGGAGATGAGAAGGCATGTCACGAAACGGATATATATCAGGAATAAATTTTACATGCCGGCTGGTATAAATTTTATTCTGATATATATCAAGACAGAAATAAGCAGACTGGGACAATGAATAACCCATGAACACACACGGTATTGATCGGGGCTGAGTTTTATTATTTGTGTATGGTCGTAACCACGGATAACACAAACATCCAAATGGTTGTAATTTAGTGTAGTTAGGATTCATTTTATGAAGACGGAAGTATGGAGTGTCGTTGTCAAGGACCGGAGTCGGGAGACGATTTATTAAATATACAGCAGTCTGAAATGCAAACGTCCAGTATTGTATTGGAAGACCAGAATAGTGAAGCAAGGACAACCCAGTTTCAACAATATGACGATGCCTCCGCTCAGCTAACCCATTATGTTCAGGTGTATGAGGCGGAGTAGTCATATGTGAAATGCCATGGCTATTTAGATAGGCACGTAATTTAATAAATTCACCCCCGTTGTCAGAAAAAAGTGTAGTAATTCGATGATTAAAATATTTTTCCACCAAACGATGAAATTGGGGAAACACATTGGCAACATCGGATTTTTGTTTGAGTGGATACAACCAAATGTAGCGGGTAAAATAATCTACAAAAATGACATAATACTTGCATCCATCAACAGATAGAGTAGACGTACTCCAAACATCAGTGTAAACAAGTTCTAAAGGACGGTGAGCACTCATAGAATTAACAAAGAACGGTAACTTGGTGCTTTTATTGACTGAACAAGACATACAATGGAACGAACTAGTGGAAGTACATGGGAAAATATTTTTATTTTTATTCAATAAAAAGGCAAAAACACGACTAGATGGATGACCCAGAATATGATGCCACTGAGACGGAGCAAGACGTTGAGTAAGATTAAGCTGAGGACCTTGAATACTGGACGTATAGTAGACATCATTGCTGTTCTCCCCGCGTAGTAGTGGCGCCCCCGTGACCCGATCCTTGACAAGAAAATGATTAGAGAAAAATTCAATAGAAACATTATTAGTTTTGCATAATTTGGCTACGGAAATGAGATTTTTGTTTAAATGAGGAACACATAATACATGAGAGAGGGTGAGGGGACGGGTGGATGTGGGTAGGGTGGAGGAACCCGTGTGAGTGATTTTAAGGGCCTTACCATCGCCTAAGTGGACTTCATCTGGACCACCATATTCAGCATATGTAGGGAGGCGAGTTGCATCATTAACCACGTGGTGGGAAGCTCCACTGTCAAACATCCAGGACTGATTTGGTGAAGGTGACGAGGCAGTAACATAATTAGCCATAGGATTACTAGATGAGGCAGGATGAGGAATGTGATTATCACGAAGAAACCGTTGCAATTTTCTGCATTGTTGAACAATATGGCCGACGTTGTCACAAAAACGACAAATAGGTTGACCTGCATGTGCAGACCGGTTGAATTGGTGAGTTGGGCCACCTCTGCCCCGTCTGAAGGAGTTACCTCTGCTGCGGCCTGGACCATCCTGACGCCGGTCAGTGTGAGCACTGCGTGGACCACGCTCAGTAGCATGCGTCACATTCGCAGTGGGCAAAAGAGAGTCTGTTGTTGCTGCTACTTCAATTATTTGTTGCTCATGCTCCAATAAAATGGGTCTCAATTCAGCCAGGGGTAGTGGGGTTTCACGTAGCCGTATGGCAGATTTAATATCTCCATAAGCCGGCCCAAGACCTCTAATAATATGGATGACCAGATCCTCCTCAGATATGGGATTCTGAGCGAGAGCAAGTGCATCCGAAATTGCCGTCATCTCAGCCAAATAATCAGAAATAGATTTGTTCCCTTTGGTAGTCTTGGCTAGGGTATTTTTAAGAGAAATAATATGTCCACGAGATGTACTAGAATAAGTGAGAGCTAGAGTATTCCATGCACCACGAGCGGTGAGTGCAGAGGATAGGATGGGTTGAATAGTATCGGAGCAACTGCCTAGAAGGGCACTCAAAATGACTTTATCTTGTCGATACCAAATAGTATAACAAGGATTGATCTGGGATTTTTCATCATCGAGAAATTGGGCAGGGGCAGTGATAGTGCCATCGACATATCCTTCAAGTCTGAGGCCGACAAGAGCGGCGTGAACTTGGCATTTCCAAACTGGGTAGTTGGAAGATGTGAGCTTAATCGGAAAATTGGTGGTGGCAGTGAGTTGAACCACTGGGGTGGTGGCGGTGATAGCCATCGGAAAAAAAATTACGATGCTCGTTTGAGGCTGGCTCTAGATACCATGAAAAGTATGAATGATTATACTTAATTATAAAATACAATGTACATGTGTGTATATATACACGTAGAACTACCTCTCAAAGCTAATGAGATAATCATGACTAGCTATAATTATGGAGATAATAATGTATCATAACAACCTAGCTAATCCGTATGTACATAGTGATAAGAATAATGATTAATAATATTATGTTGCTCCAATAATTCAAACAAAAAGGAGTATGTATGTCGTTAGTCATCTATGTCGGCAAACACACAAGGTCATGACAGGTACGAAGCTGGAGTGGATCTGCGACGGATATGAGGTTCCGATTGCCTCCAAATGGGCAAGGAAGGTCTCCGGCGACGGCGGCGCCTCCAAACGTGCAAAGAATGTCTCCAGCGACGGCGGCCGATTCGTGGAGGATTTATTGAGCTCGTATCTGGCGGTGTGGTGGACCAGTGACGCCTGGTTTCAATGTACGCGTAGGAGCGTAGGAACAAGAGTTGTTTTTTTAAAAAATAAACCTACGTCGTTTTGGGATCGGCACACCATGTGCATGGTGTGCCGATCCCACGGTATAATTTGCCATGTGCATGGTGTGCCGATCCCACGGTATAATTTGCCGTGAACAGTTGGTATACCGTGGGATCATCCCACGGTGAGCATCGTGCTCCACTTCCAAAACGGCGCAGTTTTGCGTACGTAATTTTAACTTAAAAAATTTCACGGGTGAACAGTACACGCGTGTACAGTACCTTTTTTTAGTTTTTTCATTGTCCTGGACAGAATTATGTAACTCGCGTGTAAAAAAACGTAATTCACACTGATAAAAGATGTAACTGCAGGCAAGTCAAAATGTAACTTGTCTAAAATATTGTTTTCAATGTAAAGTATAAAAAGAGTCCAATTGCTTATTTACTTTATCTAAATAGTGAATTTGTTTTGTTTTTTAAGAAATCATTTCCCCCAATTTTTTTTTTGCAAAAGAAAAACAATTTTTATAAAGTATTTTTTGTTTCAATAAAAGTATTTGTGATGTAACTCGTGTTATGGAAAATGCAACTCGCTTATGAAGGGTTTGGTGTAACTCGCGTACATTAAGATGTAACTCACGCATAAACAGATGTAACTCATGCATAACAAGATGTAACTTCCTATAATATCAAATGTAAACAATGAAAAAAGAGTTTAATGTTCAATTAATTTACTTAAATAGTGAATATATTTTTATTTTTTGTAATATTAGGGTCATAAAAATGTTTTATATAAAATTCATTTATTTACCAAAAACAATAGCCAAAAGAAATCATATTTTGCAAAAATAAAAGATTTTTTTATTTTGTGATGTAACTTGTGTTATAAAAAGATGTAACTCGTGCACATGAATATGTAACTTCATATATTACCAGATCTAACTTCATGAATCGAAGTAAACAAACTTAATTTCTTAAAAACCCTCTAAATGAGTTTAACTTTTACGACATAAAAACATTCACTTTTCGTCTTCTACATTCATTATTTGCTTTTTTCATTTTTTTCACCACAATTAATCTGCTGCTTTTTCATTTTAAAATAGGTTCCAAAATAATAAATAGCAACTAAAATACAGAGCATGTACATCAGGGACGGAGCCACATGTATCAATGTGGTGTCAATTGACACCACTCAAATAATTGTTTTTAGTTATATATATAGAGGTAAATTTTCTATTAAAAAAAATGACACCATCAATATAAATGAAATGTTCCCAATTGACACCACTCAAATATTTTATGTATGTAGTTATATATAAAGGTATTTTATTATAAAATCAATTTAACACTAAAGTAATTACATATTTATCACTAAAATAAAGGTTATTTACAAAAAATGATGTCCTACATGTAGTGACAATGATGCTATATTGTAGTAACTTTTAGTGATATTTTTGTAATTAAGTTTATTTCACAATTTTTTTGGAATATTATTTAAAGCCAAATATATACAATTATACATAGTATATATAACCAAATAAATTACACTGGGTTACAATATAGAGTTGTTGGGATATGAAATAACTATTTAATTGATATGCATTATTATTGGCCATAATCGATACTACTTTCATGGTGATACTACTAGTGATAATTGACACCAACACCAGGACATGAGTGGGTGGTGCGGTTATTAAGAAGAGTTGATTTATATGATTGATAGGAATTGATAGTGTAAGGATGTTTTTTACTTGAACCGAAATTCGCTGGTTTGGTCTGGTATGATAAATGTCCGGTCTTTGTGTATTTTATAACTATGGAAGTTCAGTTTAGTCTGGCTTGTTTAAGTCTGGTATGTCTGGGACTGAAAATCTTCAGAATAAAGTAAAAATAATTTAGGATCAAACAAATTTTACAATATTTTGATATAAGACAATCTTAGTGGACTATGAGGAGTATCATGTAAAGTTGTTTTCCTATTTTAAAACCTCAAAATTGACTCGGAAATTGTAGAAGACATATAATTTTTAATCAATTTCTTTTTAACGTCGTGTCACGGAAGTAGTATTTAGTTTAGAAAGTTTGACACCACTCAAATGAATCTCTGGCTCCGTCCCTGTGTACATGACGGATTCAAACAAAAAAGGAGTATGTATGTCGTTAGTCATCTATGTCGGCAAACACACAAGGTCATGACAGGTACGAAGCTGGAGTGGATCTGCGACGGATATGAGGTTCCGATTGCCTCCAAACGGGCAAGGAAGGTCTCCGGCGACGGCGGCGCCTCCAAACGTGCAAAGAATGTCTCCAGCGACGGCGGCCGATTCGTGGAGGATTTATTGAGCTCGTATCTGGCGGTGTGGTGGACCAGTGACGCCTGGTTTCAATGTACGCGTAGGAGCGTAGGAACAAGAGTTGTTTTTTTAAAAAATAAACCTACGTCGTTTTGGGATCGGCACACCATGTGCATGGTGTGCCGATCCCACGGTATAATTTGCCATGTGCATGGTGTGCCGATCCCACGGTATAATTTGCCGTGAACAGTTGGTATACCGTGGGATCATCCCACGGTGAGCATCGTGCTCCACTTCCAAAACGGCGCAGTTTTGCGTACGTAATTTTAACTTAAAAAATTTCACGGGTGAACAGTACACGCGTGTACAGTACCTTTTTTTAGTTTTTTCATTGTCCTGGACAGAATTATGTAACTCGCGTGTAAAAAAATGTAATTCACACTGATAAAAGATGTAACTGCAGGCAAGTCGAAATGTAACTTGTCTAAAATATTGTTTTCAATGTAAAGTATAAAAAGAGTCCAATTGCTTATTTACTTTATCTAAATAGTGAATTTGTTTTGTTTTTTAAGAAATCATTTCCCCCAATTTTTTTTTTGCAAAAGAAAAACAATTTTTATAAAGTATTTTTTGTTTCAATAAAAGTATTTGTGATGTAACTCGTGTTATGGAAAATGCAACTCGCTTATGAAGGGTTTTGGTGTAACTCGCGTACATTAAGATGTAACTCACGCATAAACAGATGTAACTCATGCATAACAAGATGTAACTTCCTATAATATCAAATGTAAACAATGAAAAAAGAGTTTAATGTTCAATTAATTTACTTAAATAGTGAATATATTTTTATTTTTTGTAATATTAGGGTCATAAAAATGTTTTATATAAAATTCATTTATTTACCAAAAACAATAGCCAAAAGAAATCATATTTTGCAAAAATAAAAGATTTTTTTATTTTGTGATGTAACTTGTGTTATAAAAAGATGTAACTCGTGCACATGAATATGTAACTTCATATATTACCAGATCTAACTTCATGAATCGAAGTAAACAAACTTAATTTCTTAAAAACCCTCTAAATGAGTTTAACTTTTACGACATAAAAACATTCACTTTTCGTCTTCTACATTCATTATTTGCTTTTTTCATTTTTTTTCACCACAATTAATCTGCTGCTTTTTCATTTTAAAATAGATTCAAAAATAATAAATAGCAACTAAAATACAGAGCATGTACATGACGGATTCAAACAAAAAAGGAGTATGTATGTCGTTAGTCATCTATGTCGGCAAACACACAAGGTCATGACAGGTACGAAGCTGGAGTGGATCTGCGACGGATATGAGGTTCCGATTGCCTCCAAACGGGCAAGGAAGGTCTCCGGCGACGGCGGCGCCTCCAAACGTGCAAAGAATGTCTCCAGCGACGGCGGCCGATTCGTGGAGGATTTATTGAGCTCGTATCTGGCGGTGTGGTGGACCAGTGACGCCTGGTTTCAATGTACGCGTAGGAGCGTAGGAACAAGAGTTGTTTTTTTAAAAAATAAACCTACGTCGTTTTGGGATCGGCACACCATGTGCATGGTGTGCCGATCCCACGGTATAATTTGCCGTGAACATGGTTGACAAATCCCACACCCAAGGGTGCCATATATCCATTTCTACACTTTCCATACTGATCAAAATTAAATTATACTCCGTATTCGGTAATCTCATGGTATTTTTTGAAGTTATTTAATAAAAAGTGATTTTGAAGAGTTCTAACCAATTCAGTTCCCTATTCCTTTTACATTATTGTTATACATTGTAAAATTTAATTTTTCTGCCCAAATACTTGATACATATCAGCCGTGTGAATAGTGTCAGATCCAACAACACAATATTGTTGATATTGAGATATATAATCTATTGTTTGGTGCATAGTCAATGGCAGAAAAGTAATAAACTTTTTAACACTATAAAAGGTGAAGGTGTTAGGTCCCTGTTTTCTAGTCTATAAAATGTATGTATGGAAGATAGATCTGGGAATGAAGCTTTTCATTGAATGATGAAGAAGTTTACAGAATGATAAGCAATTTAGCGTAAAACTTCTATCACCGATATAGGCACTGCGGCACAGGAATGTTGCGAAAAGCTTAACCTAGCCTTTCCCTTAAGGCATATATATAGCCTGACGGGAAAGGTAGGTTTTACAATCATTTGGGCTCCTTTTTCTAGGAGGCCCATACCTAAAAAGGTATAAAACCTTTTATTACAAATTGCCT